GGCGGGAGACGGCAGTCATTACCGCACACCTCTGTTGTGTTGTTATTGCAAATTAAAAGTAGCATGTTCCACTCCACAGCTATCTTTGGGGAGGGAGGGGCTCCGAGGGAGGTGGGGGATCTTATCATTGCTTCTTCAGCAGACCAGCCGCGGTGTCACCGTGTGAGGTGACATTTGAATTTACAATTCCGCTGAGAAAAGCCATTAATTCACAAATTAACATTTCTCCCTCTCCCTCTCTCTTTAACACTCTCTCCCTCTCTCTCGCGGCTGTGCAGGCAATTGAAAAGACAAAGGAAATAGCCTTAAGGAAGAGACTTTACTGCTAGTCTGTCTGTGCTCAGATTGCTTCCCCTGCTTCCAGATAGATAAACCAATTACCTGAGCCGCTCAGCTCCTGGCCGCCCCGCGATCCCGCCTTTGTAGGCTGCCCCTGCGCGGCAGCGGCCGGATCGCTCTCTGTATCTCATTAACGGAAACCAGGCCTGCCCTGGCCACCAGCCTCTCGCCCGGCTCTCCCTCTGGAGGGGCAGCCGAGGCAGCTGGGGTCAGGACGGGCCGGCCGGGAGAGGTCCACCCCGGGGGAGAGCGGAGGCGGCCATGGCTCCGCGGCCCGGCCCGGGTGCTCGCGGCCTGCCGTCTGGGCCGATGCCCGTCCGCAGGTGGGTGCCCCCTGCGGGCTTGCTCTGGCCCCCAGAGCGAGGCTGGGCGCGGCAGGGGCGGAGTCAGAACCTGACTTCCTCAGTGGCCTTTGGTCTAGGTGCAGGGCCTGGCAGAGCCTGGGGATCTGAGCTCCCTGCGTGGGAAGAGCTCAGTGGGGTTTGTTGAGCATGGAGCGGGATGGGTTCAGTCCAAAGGCGTGGGAGAAGGGCCAGGGAGGCAGGGCGAGGTGGCCCCGTGATACTGGGTGACACACTGATTCCTTAAATGGGGCCACACTGACTCCTTCGCCTGAGCCTACCCCTCACACACACACACACACACACACACACACACACACACACACACACACACACACATCCAGCCATCAATCCCCAGCCTGGAGGAGCCCTGTGGAGGAGGTGGCTGGGGCCGTGGACTCCCAGGGGCACCCACAGCACAGGCGGGAATCAAGGGGTCACCTCTGGTCCCCGCTGTCCCCCAGGCTCCTCTCCGCCCTGGAAGACCTCTCTGTCGGCAGAGAAGCTGAACAGGGCTTGGGTGTCCCCCAGGAGAGGATCCCAAGACTGTGACCTCACCCACCGTGCTACCTAGCACATGTCACAGTCTCTGCCCTGCAGGACCCAGGTCCTGGGAGGCCCAGAAGCCAAGTCTGCATGACGGCAGCCCCCCGTGAGACAAGTGCCTGGGTTCAGCCGCCTTAGCCGAGCTCAGCCTCTGCTCATTTTCCAACGGGTGTTCAAAACCTAGTTTACGTCCCCTCCAGCCCGCCAATGACTAAGGTTTAAAGGTCAGTGCTCACTAAGACACAGACACAAAACCCGCTTATGAACGCACCCTCATCACTATGACCGCACCTTCCCGGTGGCCAGGGAAAGTAGCCTGTGTGTACCTGAGGCGGGAGTTATTCTATCTCAGCCGGGTCATCGCTTAGGCCAGACTCTCTGGGCAATGGTGGCTGTGGGCCTGCCGAACACCGAGTGTGTCATGGGCCACAGGCAAGTGGGGGCTCCGTGGATGTGTGAGTGAGACTTTCTGGGGCCCTGGGCACACGTGACGTGGGTTTCTCCTTGGGGAACCTCAACCCTGGCTGGACGGCGCTAACACGGGAATGTGCGTTTACACCAGAGACGGCAGCCAAGCCATCAGCCACCTCCCTCCTGCTCGTCCATGCCCTGCTGGGGAAAGAGTTACGCTTGGTTGTTTGGGGAAGTGTTTTGAGATGTAGCACAGAAGAGTGCTTTTTTCTTTTTTCTTGTTTTTCCTCGCAAAATGTCAGAAAGTTAGAGCAGACGGGGCCCCCATCCCCGGGAAAGTCAGGGGCGTATGTGTGTCCCTACAGGCCTGGACAGGGGATGAGTGTGGTACAGGGTGCCCTGTTTTCCGCCAAGGCCGCTGGTGCCCCTGCCCACCCCCAGGACCGCACGCCCTGTGGTCAGAGACGTCCTCGGTGCCTGGTCTCCACTCAGCCACCACCTTCCTCCCTGCAGGTGGGCGTCGTTCTCCTTCCCCACCTGGCAAGGGCACCAGCGAGAAACCGCCGCCTCAGCTCTGCCCTCCTCTCCTCCCCTGGTGCAGAAGGTGGACGCGGGAGGGAGGAGCCAGGCGCCCAGGCTGTCCCTGGGCCCTGCTGCCCGTGGGCTCGCCTCCCTGGGCACCGCCTCCTCTGCGGACCAGCGGGTGGCTGAGAAGAGCAGACAGTGGCATCGGGCCTCTTCGGAAAACGGGCTTGGAGAGTGTGTCGGCCGAGCAGACTCAGGGTGGCTGCCTGCCCCGGGAAGGGTCCTGGCAGCCTCCTGATCCCCTGCCTGCCTGGAGCCCAGGGAAGGACCCCTCCAACCCTGTCCTCCCAGGGCTGCAGTGGCCCCAGGGCTCTCTGCAACCCTCCCCTGCTGCCCCGTGCGTGGAGAGGCAGGGCAGGCTGGGGGGCTGGGCGGGCGCCGGGCCGGGAGCCGGTCACGAGCCTCAGCCAGCAGCGGCACAGCCAGTAATTCAAACCATCCTGACCCTTTCGTGAACCCGAACCTGCTGACCTTGACAGCGCAGACAAGAGAGGCCTCACAAACCTCAACCTGCACGAAGGCCTGGCCTTCTCACCCTCCCTTTCTTGGAGGCTGTGGCCCAGCCTCCAGGTGGCCCCTCATTTGGCCACCCCCATGCAAGGCCGGCCTCCCCTCCACCCCGGCGCGCCTGCCTGCTTGAAAGCACCCTTTGTGCTCACCCCACTGGGGACGGGCGTGGGCATCTCCTGGGGCCCCTCCGGGACGGGGGTTGGGGCTTCTCCCGCTGGCTGAGCTTCTACACCTTGACTTCTTCCTTCTGCCCGCAGTTCTGTCTTTTTTACGACTGGCCGGTGCGTGCGTGTGCGTGCGCATGAGCACGTGTGTGTGTGTGTTTGCCCACGGAGGCAGGGATAAAAATACGGTTTGGGTGCACACGGGAGCAGGGATAAAAATGCAACCAGACAGAGCGGACGAGGGGAGGGGAGCAAAGCCGAGGAAAGCAGCCAGGAAGCAGCACCAAAGTCAACGTGGTCGCTGAAGTCCTGAGTTCTGCCCAGGGAGAGCTGGCTTCTGCCCAGCAGCCACTCAGAGCCTGCCTGACAGTTCCTGAAGCAGAGAGTGTGGCAGGGGCGAGGGAGCCAGGGACAGGAAGGGGTGCGCAGGTGTATGCATGGAAACACACACACACACACACACACACCCCATGTGCACACTCACATACTCACTTGCATATGTGCACACACACTCACCTGTGCACACACCTGCACACATGCACCTGCATGCACTTGTGCACACTCACCTTCACGTGACATACTCACCTGCGAGCACACACACTCACCTATGTACTCACCCGCACACACTTGTGTACACTCACCTTCACATGCACACACTCACCTGTGTGCATACTCCTCTACATGCACACACTTACCTGTGTGTACACGCTCACCTGAACACACACCTGCATGCACACACTCCTGAGTAAACACTCACCTGTGCACACACATTCACCTGCACTCACCTGCACACATTCACCTGTGCACACACTCCCTTACACACACTCACCTGAGCACATACCTGCACTCATACAGTCACCTGCATATACACACTCTCCTGAGTGCACACTCACCTGTGCACATTCACCTGCACACACACTCACTCACCAGCCACAGAGACCGTCTGAGTCCCCAGCGGCCTGGGGAGCTGGGACAGAGGGGCGCAGACCAGGGGTGGGTAGGAGGGACTCTGGGAGCTGCTCTTTCCTCCCCTCCCCCTCCCCCTGCCGCACCTCCATCTCCTTAGTGTGGCCACTGGGCATGTGGGCAGCATGGTAGCTGAGGGCGGCCAGCTTGCGGGGGCTGCCTGGGTGAGGACTGCGCGGCTGGTTTCGGGGCAGTAGGCATGAGGCCTAGGCAGCCAAAGGACCAGAATGTGGCTCTGCTGGGGTTCCAGGAACTGTCCTTTTCTTCCGGGACTGGGTCCGTTTGTCCCCGGCACCCTGCTAGAACACACGAGTGCCTCGTGGCTACTGGAGACGGAGATGGAGACTCAGGGAGACCCCAATGGAGGCCGTGCTCCTTCTAGTGATTCACAGGAAATAAGCAGTCGGCAAGGTCAGCGTGTGGGGGCTTTCGGGGGCTCGTGTAAGCAGTTGGAGGGTCCGCCTTTCTAGACCCTTCCTCATGTGCACGGCCCATGGGCGCATGCTCTCTGACAATCCCGAGTGGGCCAGGACCCTTGACCTTGGCGGTGCGGGGGCTTGGGGAAGCATGGCTGGAGGCTTGTGAGAGGCTCCGCTCTGGCCCGGGCC